GGAAATCTTCGTCGAGCTCCCACACGGTACCAACGAGGAACCTAACCAAGTCTGTCAACTGCTGAAATCACTTTACGGGATCAAGCAAGCTCCGCGGCTATGGCAACAATACCTACACGCTCGCCTCATTCGCATCGGATTCCGCCAACTACCTCACGACCAAGGAATGTACCGACTCACTAAAGACACCGACTACATTCTGCTGATCGTCTACGTAGACGACCTACTCTACATCGGCTCCACTGACGACATCACCACCTGGTTCGAAGGGGAGCTACAGAGGGACCTCACACTCACGGTCTCCTCTACCGTCACACAGTACCTCGGCTTGAACATTCGGGAAGAAGAAGGCGCGATCTACCTCAACGCCGCTAAGTACGCCGACACCATCGCCAAACGCTTCGCGCTCACACCTACCACCATCTCTACGCCCTTCCGCTACGCGACAGGAAACCACAAGGAAGGATCCTCTCTACTCAAATCCGCCGGGATACGCGACTACCAGAGAAAGCTAGGATGCCTTCTCTTCGCAGCTGTCACCTGCCGCCCCGACCTCTCATACTCCGCAAGCCAGCTCGCCACCTACCTTAAGAAGCCTGAAGCAGAACACCTGGCGGAGCTCGACCGCGCTCTCCACTACTTCGTCAGTACCTCAACGATCGGCCTAACTTACTACAAGAACACAACTACACCAACTAAATTAATCGGCTACGTCGACGCTGATCACGCTGGCGACTCCGACAACAGGCGCTCCCGCACCGGCTACATCTACCGCCTCGAACCTATCGGACCGATCTCCTGGCAATCGAGCAAGCAGGAATTAATTGCTCTCTCGTCAGCTGAAGCAGAATATATTGCACTCTGCTCAGCCACCAAGGAAGGACTCTATCTTCGCGAGCTGCTGGAAGAAGCGAAGTTAGCCGAGTTACCCAACTTCACTCTGTTCTGCGACAACCAATCTGCAATTCGCATCGCCAACAAAAATGGATTCGCGAACAGAACGAAGCATATCGCTCTGCGATATTTCTTCGTGAAAGACGAGATTGAGAAGGGGAGACTTGAACTATCCTACTGTCCCATGTCCGAGATGGCAGCTGACTACTTGACCAAGAAGCTCGGAAAACAGAAGTTCGAGTACTGCATGCTGCTGACTGGACAAAGCCACGTCACCAGCAGCGACACTCCAGAAGCGAAGGGGAGTGTTGGGAACAAACAATCTTAAAGCGCCTCTGTCGTGTCGAAACACCAAGGCACAAGCGAAGCAGAGCATATCGAGGCACCAGCGAGTCAACCCTCGGAGGTTGAAGTAACCGCTGGAGGTTACGCGAAAGTCAAAGGTCAGCGACCTTTGACTTGACAAATGCAGCGCGACAGCAAGGACACACAACTGACTCGACATTGAGCAGTTGCCCGAGTCGCACTGTATCGAACCGCAACAGTAAAACAGTTTAATTATATCTCTTCGTATTCTTTGTACTCTTATATAAACCTTTGTACTTGCTTGTTTTAATCAACTTACTTTGCCCTCACATACCAGCGCAAGGTGGTTCAAGGACTTCATTTAAACGCTTCCGCTACTACATCACTCTACCCAGAGTTTAACCCTACCAAAGATCCTAAGGGGCACTCAGCCCAACAATGCTAAGGTGGGGGGGCGGAAAATCTGAAATTGAAAGTTCGAAATGAAAATGTGGGTGAAGGCCAAATGGCCTTCGCCCCCTCTTTTATACCCAAAAAGAGGGGAAGTAGCGTTTCGCCGAAGCCTTTGCTCCGGTACAATTCGCTTCGCTGTTCATGTCAGAATGTTATTATCTAGCCTGTAGTGGGGTGCTCTATAGCGAGTACAACCCTGTTAGGGTTTGCTATATGTATCCAAACTGCTGCTAGTGAAACCCCTCCTTTGTTCATTTCTCTCTTGCCTAGCTAGCTAACCCTAGCTATGGCTCCTCACTGTGCTTACTATTGTAACATGCTATCAGAGCCTCTACGCTCCTGGCCTGTGGGCCCACCTAACTGCTTCCGCTGCTACTCTGTGTGTTGCACGCCCCGTGGCGTGCGACGGATTTTTCTTCCCGCCGCGCGCTCGGAGCGTGCGGCGGTTTTCTGCCCGCCGTGCGCCCCGGGGCGTGCGGCGGTTCTCTGCCCGCCGTGCGCCCCGAGGCGCGCGGCGGCTTTCTGCCCCGTCGGTACGCGCGTCGCCCCCGGGGGGCGCTTCGACGGGCGACGGGGACCAGCCCGTCGTCCCCCGTCGCCCGTCCCGGCCAGCGCGGGCTGCGCTAGCCCCGAGCGCGGCCCGTACGGGCTGCGCCCGGCCCGCGCGCGGCCCGTACGGGCTGTGCCAGGCCCGCGCGCGGCCCGTACGGGCTGCGCCAGGCCCGCGCGCGGCCCGTACGGGCTGCGCCAGGCCCGCGCGCGGCTCGGGCCGCCTGCGCGCGGTTCGTCGGGCTGTGTCAGGCCCGTGGGCGGCCCGTTCCTCTCTACCCCTGAGCTGCTCGCTGTCCCCCGTGCTTCTGACGGTGCCCCACCCCTGCTGCTGCCCGTTCTCCTGAATTAGGGTTTGGGGGTATGGGGGTGCAGTTTCTGTGCGCCGTTCCACTACTCCTCCTCCTCCTCCGTCTCCCGCTGCTGCAGCTGCCGCTCAGGGGGGTGGGTGTGTGGGAGCCGAAGGAGTGGTGCTAGGAGGGTGACGTGGGAGTGGAGTTAGGGGTTCAGCAGGGGGTGTGTGTCAAAGGTGTGGGTCAGTTGGAGGAGGTTGTGTGGAGGTAGCTGTCGTGTTGCCTGCAGCGCCTGTAGTCCGTCGCCCTTGCTTCGGTAGCCAGTGAGCCTGTTGCACCAGTCGCCAGTGGGTCCGTTGCTCCTGCCGCTCGTCTTAGCCGCGGAGCCAGTCACTCCAGTAGTCCGTCGCCCTTGCTTCGGTAGCCACTGAGTCAGCCGCTCCTGTGCCCGTGCCTCTGCAGCTTCAGTCGTTGCCTCCCATCTTCTCTCCTTCCACAGTTCCTCCTCCTCCTCACTTGCCCTCTGTGATAGCCTCTAGCTTTGCTTGCATTTGTGAACCTGCTCTATGACTGCGTGCTCTGCTGATTACACCCCACTTTGGCTATGGGGGTGTGTCAGAATGTTATTATCTAGCCTGTAGTGGGGTGCTCTATAGCGAGTACAACCCTGTTAGGGTTTGCTATATGTATCCAAACTGCTGCTAGTGAAACCCCTCCTTTGTTCATTTCTCTCTTGCCTAGCTAGCTAACCCTAGCTATGGCTCCTCACTGTGCTTACTATTGTAACAGTTCACAATACACAATTTTGGAAAATGTTTCACTTTAAAAAATTTACATATTGTGAACGCTTGCGATTTTCCTTGCAAATGCAACGTCTCATTTCAACTGGGTCTTCTGAGACATGGGGAGAGAAAGTTGGTGTCAGAATCCCAGCCACTAACCACTGGGATAAAAGAGCTTGTTCGTGTAGCGGGTGAGTGCGCCCATAACCCCCCAGGACAACGTGCCTGTAACCCTTCCCTAGAATCAATCGGGGAACACCAATGGACCTCTGACAGTTGGCGGTGCCTCGTAATGGCGCGATGATGCTGGGAGGTTGACGTGCACAAGCTTCGTCTTGGATGTTGCGAGATGCTGCGATAAGGTGATCCTGCGAGAGGGTCACGTATATATCCTTTGCTGTCTCGCTTCGCCTGTGCCCGAGCTGTTTGAAGATGCGATCCGGGACTCCCGCACTAGCTGCAACCGTGGCTGCGCCTTTGCAAAAGGAGTGGGTGCCAAGGTGTGTTGAATCGATGCCTGCGGCTTCAAACGCTTGCATACACCATGTGCGGATTGTAGTTTAAGTTGGGGCAGTGTCCTTTGATGATGGCGGTGAGGATCCGCGGAAAACGCGTATCAGCGGCTCTGTGGTGGTCGGCCCGTAGTCTGATAGCCAAATGAAATGGCGGGTGCTGTCAAACTATAATGCTGCTTATATTGTGTAGGCTGTAGTGGGGTAGACTATATGGGGTACAACCCAATTAGGGTTAGTACTTGTACCCAGTTTGATCTCAATGCAATCATTCCTGCTCATCATATTCTGACATGGTTTCAGAGCAATAGGTCCGTAGGACCGTTTTTTTTTTCGGGCCCACCATTAGCTAGTGACCGACTGCGGTTACCACGCTACCCCATGCCCTGACCTGCGCTGCACAGTCAGCGCGCGCCCTGCCCTGCCCTGCCTAGTGTCATACTGCCCCTGCACGCCTTGCCCTGCGTCGCGCTGCCCCGCGCACGCCCTGCTCTGCCCCGCGCACGCCTTGCTCTGCCCCGCGTCGCGCTGCCCGGCGCACGCCCTGCTCTGCCCCGCGTCACGCTCCCCCGCGCACGCCCTTCCCTGCCCCGCGTCGCACTGCCCCGCACACGCCTACCCTGCCCCGCGTCGTGCTGCCCCGCGCACGCCCTGCCCTGCCCCGTGTCGCGCTGCCCTGCGCACGCCCTGCTCTGCCCCGCGTCGCGCTGCCCCGCGCACGCCCTGCCCTGCCTCGCGTCGCGTGCCCCTGCAGCCCGTCGCGTCGCGCGCCCCTGCTGCCCGTCGCGCCGTGCGCCCCTGCAGCCCGTCGCGTCGCCCGTCGGCCCTACTCGTGCCTGTCGCGTCGTCAGAGCGGGCTTCCCCAGCCCGCCGCGACACCCGTCCGCCCTGCTTGCCTGTGCGCTGCCCCTGCCCGCCCCGCGTCGCGCCGCGCCGTGCACGCCGCCCACGCGCAGACTCTTGCAGCCCGCGCGCGCCCGTCTGCAGCCCGCGAACCGCCCCTGCAGCCAGCGCGCCTGCCTCTTGCAGCCCGCGCACTGCCCCTGCAGCCCACGAGCCACCCCTGCAGCCCGCGCGCTGCCCTTGCAGCCCGCGAGCCACCCCTGCAGCCCGCGCGCTGCTCCTGCAGCCCGCGAGCTGCCTCTGCAGCGCCCTGCTAAACCCTAAAAAAAAAAAAAAAAACAAAAAAAAGAGCCCTAGGTGCTGCCGCCCTAGGAGCTACTGCCTGCTGCCCCATCCATTCCCTGCTTCCCCCCATCCCCTTCCCTGCTTCCCCCCATCCCGCTCCCTGCTTCCCCCATCCCCTTCCCTGCTTCCCCCCATCCCCTTCCCTGCTCCCCCCCATCCCTTCCCTGCTTCCCCCCATCCCCTTCCCTGCTTCCCCCCATCCCCTTCCCTGCTTCCCCCCATCCCCCTCCCTGCTTCCCCCCATACCCCTCCCTGCTTCCCCCCATCCCCTTCCCTGCTTCTCCCCATCCCCTTCCCTGCTTCCCCCCATCCCGCTCCCTGCTTCTCCCCATCCCCTTCCTTGCTTCCCCCCATCCCCCTCCTTGCTTCCCCCCATCCCCCTCCCTGCTTCTCCCCATTCCCTTCCCTGCTTCTCCCCATCCCCTTCCTTGCTTCCCCCCATCCCGCTCCCTGCTTCCCCCCATCCCCTTCCCTGCTTCCCCCCATCCCGCTCCCTGCTTCCCCCCATCCCCTTCCCTGCTTCCCCCCATCCCCTTCCCTGCTTCCCCCCATCCCGCTCCCTGCTTCCCCCCATCCCCTTCTCTGCTTCCCCCTATCCCCTTCCCTTCTCTACACGGTGCGTAGCAACACGCACGCACATGCATAAGTTCTTCGATGAATGGATCCCCTGACACAAGTGATGAGCGTCACTCTCTCCCCATTCCCCCCCCCCTTTGCCCCCCCTCTTCCTCGCGGCAGGCCACCGAAGCACCGCATCCAGTAGATCTTCGAGTGAATCTGCCCTGAGGCGAGCTGGCGGAGCTGTGAGGCGAGCTGGCGGAGCTGTGAGGCGAGCTGGCGGAGCTGTGAGGCGAGATGGCGGAGCTGTGAGGCGAGCTGGCGGAGCTGTGAGGCGAGCTGGCGGAGCTGTGAGGCGAGCTGGCGGAGCTGTGAGGCGAGCTAGCGGAGCTGTGAGGCAGCCTCCTCTCGAAACTGCCTTCAGCCTCCTCTACTGCCCAGCAGGATGCCGCGGAAATGATGGTGGCAGCGCACGTCAGGTCTGCGCTGTTGTGGGCCGGGGGAGTGAAGAGTGGTGCAGGGACCAGCACGGCATGTCGCTATATGGCCGGCCGAGATCCTTATGAGTTGCGGGATCTGAGCTTGAGAGAGTGCGTTCCCGAAATGTATTGCTAATGCGTTTCTTGATATTTCATTTTTTTATTCACAATTTGCTTTCAATGCTTTTCTGTACCTATTCAGCACTTGAAATGTTGTGTTTTTATGAAGTGAAGTCTCAAAAGCATCCGAACATTTTGGTAAATTAGAAATTGTAAAAATAGTGTTCAGTGTACTGCCTCACTCTCACTCGCGTGAGTTTCGCGTTGCCCACCATTTCAACCCCAAGAGAAGCGCAGTGTGCCCCACCAGTGGTGGGGTTAGAGCAGTGCTTTGTCGCACACTGAGTCATTCGACCCTCCCATATCCTTGGAAACAGCTGTCGCATAGTATCGTGGCGAAGGCTGTTTTACCCGCCTCCTGATTTCGCTTTCGCCCCACACACATTTTCGAAATACGCGATTTTTTTTTTTTTTTCGCTAGACTGTTTCAACCCCATATAACTTGAAAATTTACCATGCTGACCTCAGGCTTTAAGGGCGATTGAGCATTTTTAACCAGCATCGAAAAAACACATGCTCGAAAAATCATCGAAGTCAGGCGGTGCATGCTTCGCACATTCGAAAAAACGGGCTGCCCTTTTCGGCTGACATTATAGGGGTTAAACGTGCTGGCGCGGAAGGGGTGTAAAGTTCGAGAAAGTCAGGTCGAAGGTAAATAGCACCTTGGAACAATCATACGATTGGCTAGTCTATTCGACCAGTCGCAGATGATTGGCCGCATCACTGATATGTAAAATTTTGAAAGTGAAACACTTTCCAAAATTGTGAATTGTGAATAGCGAAGCGAATTGTACCGAAGCAAAGGCTTCGGCGAAACGCTATTTCCCCTCTTTTTCGGTATAAATGAGGGGGCGAAGGCCATTTGGCCTTCACCCACGTTTTCATTTCGAACTTTCAATTTCAAGTTTCGAGATTTTCCTCGTCCAAGCTGGCGAGGACCAAGACCCTGCCTCGCTTCACCTCTCCGTCGATGCTTCTCTCCGACATTCTTGATCGGAACTTAGCAACGATGGCGTCGGCGAGCAACAATACCCCCGGGGCTAAGGATTCGCCTGCTCGTCAATCGACGGGACTTGAGAAAACGCCTCGGGGGAACGCCGCGGAAAAAAGAAAGCGCCTTGCCAAGAATCACGCCGAAGCGACCCACACGGGGGTCGACGTGTTGCTCGGCGAGGGCGGAACAGTCGCGCGACCGTCCTAGCCACGCGCGTCCCACACGCAGGCTCGAGGGCCTGCAGACGGCGACAATGATGGCGATTTCGTCGCCATCTCTGCCGCCGCCACTGCACATCCGAGCGGATCTCGCGCCCCCCCCAAACGCAGGGCGACGGATTCGGCTGCGTTAGATGGGGCGGGCGCGAATCTTTCGCCCCCGCAACCTGCGGCACTGCTGGTCTCGACTCCAGAAGCAGGTCTCGACTCCTGCAAAAGCGCCTACAGCTACAAATGAAGAAGAAAAATCTGCATCCGCTAAGACTGCAAACCTGCGCAACAACATTTCTACCTCCGCACATGTCGCCGCACCCACCCGCTCCGACAAAGGAAAGGCGCCTGCCGTCGAAGACGAACCGGCTGCCCCTGCTGACATCGACTCCGACTCTGACAGTGACGAGCGTGAGAAGCCAAACAACCTCATCCCGAATTTGCCTAACGATCTTCTTCCCCCTCTCCCCTCTTCTCATCCCTCGACCGCGGCCGGCGCCTTCAACCGCAAAGGCGTCCGCGACCAAACTGAGGTCTTCGAAGCGCTCCAGATTTACTTGGCGCACGTGGACCACAAAACCCGCGGCGGCGACACCACCGGCGCGCTCAAGACCGTCGCCCAAGCCCAAGACCTTATCAAGCGTCGTTTTGACGTGTTGGTCGTCGCCGACCACGCGGGCTTCGACGTAGCTGAGCGCTACCAGTTGCTGAAGACTACAGCGGTGCTTACCTCACGCTCCTTCAAGATGGCGGTGGCGGAAATGGCGGCACTTAAGCGTGTGAAGACTGGCCTCCCTCGCGGAAACCGTTTCCCCCCCCGCGAATCCGTCGCCTTCATGCCGAAGGGCATGGGAGGAGGAACCGGCTGCCGCGGCTTCAAGGGAACCTGCTTCCGCTGCGGCCAGCAGGGACACATGGCCAGCGCGTGTCCCCATGGAGGCCATGGGGGTAATGAGCCCGCACCGGTGGTGTGAGCGAAGCCCGAATGTCCCTTGTCACCTCTTCTCTCTCATTGCTCCAAGGCGACCCCCGTCTTGATTGCCTTTGGAAAGGAGTTGGTGGAAGGGCAGGGCAGGACCAGGGGGTCCTTGAATAGGCTGTTTAGCCTAGGCTAGATGCAAGGATTACTCTAGGGGTGTTCGGTTTGGCGGTGGAAACCTACGGGGCCCTGGCGAAAGATACCCAACGATTCCTCCGCCTCCTGGGAACTGGGGGCAGGGCACTTGAGGCAGCGCACCCACAGGCAGCGGCTGACCCGTGGGAACCAAGCCTAGGGGACCTGTGGCAGGTCCTCGAGGATGACCTGGCCCAGCTACTCGACTTAGGTGAGTAGAGGGCCGGGCCAACCCCTAGTGGCCCGCCCAAGGAGGCTCTCCTCGGCTGGGCAGGATAGGAGGGGATTGAGGCGCCCTGCAGGAGGTTGGGCAGGCCAGCAGTGATGTAGCCGTGCGGACGGGTGTGGTGACTATGCAGTTTGGCATGGCAGGGTGGCCCAACGAATGCCTTGTATGTAAATATGTTCATTATAGAACTCGCATGCCTAGGCCACCATGCTTGCTAGGATTGCTGTTGCCTTGCCTGTACCTTATACGCACATCAATGAAGGAGAGAGAGAGAGAGAGAGAGAGAGAGAGAGAGAGAGAGAGAGAGAGAGAGAGAGAGAGAGAGGCCTAGTCCTTAGCCTCTCCAGCCCTCCCCAGCCTAGTATAAAGGCTCTAGGATCTGGTCCTAGAGCCTCATTATTCAGTTCCTTGTTCACTTTGCTCTCCTAACCGAGCAGCTCACGCCAGCCGCCTTCGGCGGCCGACGCTCGACAGCGCGGCCTTCGGCCGCGCGTGAGGGGTGGCAAGCACAATCACAAGCAGGTGACACTAATCAAGGACATACAAGCAATGGCGGTGCCTACTGGAAACTAGACAAGCAAAGCATCGATGGGGCAAATGGAGCCCGCGTCTACATGCGGTGAGCTCCGAGGGCGTGAAGAACGCCCGTCAGGGAGCGCCACAGCTCCCGGATCACAAGCGTGCTTGCGCCGATCGCCGCGGCTCCAAACCCTGCGCGCAAGTGCCGCCTCAGGCCCCGGACAGCCTCGTCAAGCTGTCCCGCAGCAGCAGCACCACCCTCCGCGGGCGCAGCCAGCACGGGCGCCAGCAACACTGCGAGCTGGTCCGCCGCATCCAGGCAAGTGTCACGCTCGCGGCCACGGAAGGTCTCAGGAGGGATCACAGGGAGAGACGAGTGGGCCAGCACTTGAATCAGCAGCAGCGCGTGGAGACTGTCAGCGAGGCGGTGAAGCTGTCCGAGAGTCGCCTCGGGAACGCGGGTCTGCGGAGGCTGAAGAGCCTCTGCCAGGAACTGAAGTGGCTCATCAGCAACAACTTGAAGTGCATTCAGAGCCGCCACCGCGCCACCACCAGCGGCCACAAAATCCACTCCCGCAACGGGCGGAACCGGCGGCAGATGAAGACGAGAGCCGGGAGCAGGTGCCGAGACAGCCGGGGAAGGAGCTGGCGGCGCAAGGATCTGAGGAGGAGGCACAGCAACAGGCTGCGAGTTCGCGGGGAGCGCGGCCGGACGAGGGGCCTCGAGGGCTGGCGAGGCGCGCATCGAACTGCTCTGGCTCTACGCCGCCCGCTCCTCTCGATCCGCCCACGACACTTCGCGCTGAAGGTCCGCCATCGTCACGGGCGGGCGATACCCCCCACCCCCGCCACGAGCACGGGGACCCCTCCAATCCCCCGTACCACCGGGGTGAGCAGGCCAGTGCGACTGTTGCTGATAACGCCGCGGAGATTCACGCCGGCGACGAGACGACTTGCGGTCCTGGTGGGGCGCAGGGGAATGGGGGCGCGACGAGCGACGGTCGGGCGACGGAGGGCGTGACGGCTGGCCCGCCGGAGCCACCGGCGTCACAACCGGTGCGGACTGACACACTGCCAAGGGCGCAATCAACGGAGCCGGTACGCCAGTCGTGGCGGACGACGCCTTCGGTGACGAAGCAGAGGCCGGAGCAGGCACGACGGGGACAGAAACGGGCGGTGCAGCAGGGGCGCCAGGGACAGGTGCGGGGGGATCAGCAACACCCTCAGCAGGGCAGACGCCGACGGCTCGACAAGGGGAGCCTGGGGGCCAGGCGCCACAGGCGGAGCAGACGGAATAGCAGCGGGAGCGGACGGGCCAGCCTCTGACCCGGCAAGGGGATCCGCGGGTGCGTGGGGAGGAGTCTTTTCAGAGACTGTTGTCACGGGTTTCGGAGCCGGCGGTAGAGGGGGCTTCGTCGCCATGGTCGCCCTTTCGGGCCCCGCCGAAGGCTTGGCGGCCGCAGCCGACCAGGCGGCAACGAGCTCTGGCGACGGCTCAGGTGCACCGGCAATCACCATCCCTGGAGCAAGGAAGCCGCAGGGTGAGGAGACAAACTGCAAGCGGAACAGGCGGAGGACCGGAGAACGGGTATCAGGCGGCGGCACGAACGGCTTTAAACAACGTGGAGGAAACTAATGACGAAGACGAGCTAGACGACCCATCTTATAGGGAAGAGGCCCTTCCCGAGAGCGAGGATGAGGAGACGGAGGAGGAAGGAATGGCGAGAGAGGGACCAAGGAGAAGGGAAGCGGCAGTGGGGCACGCAGACTCGCAAGTGCCACGAATGGCTCGACCACCGTCCGATGCCGATCGAACGAGTGCAAACCCAACCTCAAGCCCACCAATGAGGCCGAGCCGCGCTGGTGGAGGCAGTAATCCACGCAGCACGGGCTTTCCCGGATGCCCGCCCGGACAGCCTGGTCCTACAAGCCGACATTTCAAATGCGTTCAACAGCATTTCGCGAACCGCCATCGCCAACGCGTTACACGAACCCGCCCTCTCGCCACTGCTGCCGCTCGTGAAACTGACCTACGGTAACCCGTCGCAATTATTACTGGATTCCAACTTCAACAGCGAACCACTTACAAGTGAACGCGGCGTGCGCCAAGGCGACCCACTTGGGCCGCTACTGTTTGCAACAGGGATACACGCCACACTTCGCGAAACGGCCGAAGCACATCCTGACGTGCTGTGCTTGGCGTATGCGGACGATGTCACCATCCTAGGTGACACATCCCGCACTGTAGCTGCATTCAAACACTTCACGGCCAATTTGGCACACCTGGGCCTTAAGCATAACCCACAAAAATGTGCTGCCTGGAGTTCAAGCACGATCGACACAGCTTCCCTTCCGCCAGGAGTGCCGTTCTCTAAAGACGGTGTGCGGCTGCTGGGTAGCTTCGTGGGGCAGGAAAGCGGCGCAGCCCAGTTCCTAGCGGGACAACTCACCGAGATGTCAAAGCCCCTACCCCTACTCGAGCGAGCAGACCCCCAGGTTGCAGCACTGCTACTCACGCGATGCATCTCGTGACGAGTTGCATACCTCACCAGGACGACACCACTCCATTTCCTCCCCCGTGATAAATGGAGTCAGTGGGGTAGGGATCTGCTCACCACGCTCCTCACATCGTGCGATATCCGCGTCCCGACTTGTCAAGCCGAACAATTGCGAGTTTGGGAACAAGCGTCGCTGCCGCCATCGTTAGGAGGCCTGAGCATCACTGACCCACTAGTTGAGGGGATTTACGGCTTCACAGCAAGCTTTACGCAGACGGGGCTCTATATCAGCTCCCTATCGCTAGAACAGGATAACGCCCTCGCACTAGCACGAAACCATATGCTACTGCCGCCAGTTGACAGCACACCGCTACACACCTGGCTGACCGAGTGCGAGGAGGCACTGCCGTTAGATGCGCGGGAGATTCTGGAGAAGGAGCGGCTCGAACGATCTGACATCCGGCTCCAGCATGTGCTAGGACTCAAGGTCCACGGAAGCAGATATGCAGTCCAGGTGCGGGCGACGAGGCGCATGAAGCTGAATCCGCTTGCGGGTCACATGCAGCAGATGTTTTCACTCACTGGCTACGGCACAGGCGATTGGCTCACCGCGATTCCCATCGCTCCCACGAGGCAGATAGGGCCAGTGCACTTCGCCAACGCTGTACGCTTCCGGCTTGGCCTACCGTTTTCCACTCCCAAAAACTGTGACTGCGCAGAACACACAGCTATCACTGACCCCCGCCTCCCGACCCACCTGCTCCGCTGCGGCACAGGCAAGCATCGCACAAACACGCACAACGAGCTGCGAGACGCCTGCGTTATCATGGCGCAAGACGCGGGGTTTATCGTACATAGGGAGTCAGCGGCCTACTGCCCTATCGAGGAGCAAACTGCCGACTTCACCATGACCGAAAGAAGCAGTGGGGCGGTTTACATCTGCGACATTACCATCACTGACCCTATCAGCACTAGGGACCCGGAAGCACAGAAGGGCAGGGGATGGGCGGCACGAGAACAGGCCGACAAGAAAATCAAGCATTACGCCAACCGCCCAAAGACGGTTGGCTTCTTCCCCCTAGCAGTCGACACCTACGGCTGTCCTTGCGCCAAGGTGCCTGTCTTCCTCAAGCTCCTGGCAGACACAGCGGCTCGGCGCCACTTCAACGCCGACTCAAAATCCTACTACGCCGCCAAGTTTCTGCACCAATTCAGGCAACGGTGGTCGGTGGCCCTGCAGAGAGCGCAATCCGTGGGACTCCTCCTTAAGTTGGGCGAGGCAGCGGCAGCAGAAAACCCCCCTGTGGGAGGCATAGGGCAGGAGCTGCACCTTGGGGACTGCTTCGCGGTAGTTGAGCCTTTTCTGGAGCTCTAGAGAGGGCGGTGGTGTGGTAGTTGTGTGACTGGTTGGTGTTGTTTGTTTGTTTGGTTAGCTAGACCTCGCATTCCATATCTTGCATGTCTGTACCTTCCACCTCTATCAATATACGGACCATTAGAGAGAGAGGGAGAGAGAGAGAGAGAGAGAGAGAGAGAGAGAGAGAGAGAGAGAGAGAGAGAGAGGCACCCGCGGGGTGATGCTGAAATCTCGCGTACATGGTCCCAAGCTTCGCTGCCAGTGTCACTTGGGGGCCTGGGAATCACTGACCCTGCTGTAGAGGGCAGCTACAGCTACCTAGCTAGCTTTACCCAGGCACAGCAGCTGCTCTCAACTCTTGATGATAGTCAGCTAGGGCCCCTGACGGAGACACGGGTGCAGATGATGGGGCCGTACACAGACTCCTGCGCCCTCTACCACTGGCTAGCTCGGTGCGAGGCAGACCTACCGAGTGATGCAGGGGAGCTACTTCAGAGGGACAGGGCTGCACCCACGGGTGTGAAGCTGCAGCAGGGGCTAGCCTTGGCAGTACAGGGCAGGAGATATGCTAACCAGGTGGAGAGCACACGGAGCATGACCCCAAACCCCAATAGCGGCCACACGCAGCGACTTCTCTCTCTGTCAGGGTACGGAGCTGGGGACTGGCTCCATGCAGTTCTGCTCATGCCCTCCCTGCAGCTTGACGGTCCCAACTTTGCCACAGCCCTCCAGTTCAGGTTAGGATTACCATTTTCAGCCCCCGGCGTTTGTGACTGCACCAAACAGGTTCCCATCCCAGACAAACGGCTTCCAAACCATCTGCTACGCTGCGCCACAGGAGGGGGGAGGACAAATACTCACAACGAGCTGAGGGATGAGTGCATTAGGATGGCACAGTACGCCGGGTTCATGGTGCACAAGGAAACGGCAGAGTTCTGCCCGATCACTAGGAAGAGAGCGGACCTAGCCATTCGTGATCGGTCCTCAGGGGCAGTGTGGATCGGGGACGTCACCATCACTGACCATCAGCAAGCGCGACCCCAATGCGGTGAAAGGGAGGGGGTGGGCTGCCAGGGAAGCCGCTGACAAAAAATCTCCGATTACAGCGGCTCCCGGCAGCCTATGTATCATTTGTACCCCTTGCAGGGCCGGTAAAGCTTCCTGGCCAGCCTCGTACAGGCCCATTCCCTCCTCAGCCCCCTCTCGGGGCCGGCGGGGTCCTACCTCACAGCAGCACTGCACAGCCCTGACGCGGCAGACCCGAGCCCGAACGAGCTGCAGAGATGGATCAGTGACTGCAGAGAAAGCCTAACACCGGACGCGCGGGACCTGATTGCTTCCGAACTAGCAAAACCAGCAGGCCAGCTACAGCACCGCCTGGCACTGATAGTCCAAGGTAGCCGGAGCGCCGCACAGATCATCGCCTCTAGACAAATGGAGCTGAACCCCCTGGCAGGCCACACACAGCGCCTAATCTCACTCACGGGCTATGGGGCGGGGGACTGGCTCCTCGCCATACCCTACATGCCCGCCCTCCGTCTCTGCCCCGAACACTTCACTTTCGCCCTTCAGTTCCGGCTTGGCCTGCCCCTGTCCGTGCCCAAGTGCTGTGACTGTGACAAACGAGTTGCTATCCTCGACAAGAGACTGCCAAACCACCTGCTGCGGTGCGGCAAAGGCCACGGTCGGACCAACACCCACAACGAGCTCCGCGACGAGTGTATCCGCATGGCGCAGGATGCCGGGTTCGCGGTGCACAAGGAGTGCACTGCCTTCAGCCCGGTAGATAACAAGAAGGCAGATTTGGCCTTACAGGACCGGAGCTCAGGGGCGGTATGGCTGGCGGATGTTACGATCACCGACCCTATCAGCAAACGTGATGAGAGAGCAAGGAAGGGGAGGGGCTGGGCAGCACGGGAGCAGGCAGATAAGAAAATAGGGCTCTACCATGGCAGGGCAGAGTTCGCGGGGTTCTTCCCCTTGGCAGTGGAAACCTACGGCTGCCCTTGTGATGAAGTACCGACCTTCCTCAAAATCCTTGCTGACACTGCAGCTAGGAAGCTCTTTAATGCGGACCCCTCTACCTACCAGGCCGCTAAGATGCTTCACCAGTTCCGTCAGCGTTGGTCGGTTGCCCTGCAGAGGGCACAGGCGGTTAGCTTCCTCATGAAGCTGAACCTTGCAGCACAGGCTTAAAACCCCCCTCTGGGAGTGCCAGAGGGGGTGCTAAACCCGGGGGACTGCTTTGCAACACTTGAGCCCCCGCAGGGGGGCTGCTAGATGGCATGTGTAGACGCTCACTTGGTTGTATCTGCTCTATGATAACCCTACAATATGTACTGCATGTTATATCAATAAAGGACCGTTTGAGAGAGAGAGAGAGAGAGAGAGAGAGAGAGAGAGAGGGAGAGAGAGAGAGAGAGAGAGAGAGAGAGAGAGAGGATCCTAGCCTCTCTCCAAAACCGGCGGCTCGCTCGAGAGAGAGCGAGAGAGAGAGAGAGAGAGAGAGAGACACCTAGCCTCTGCCCTCTCCCTTAGCCCTCTGCCCTCCCCTCTGTGAGCTACTTAAGAGGCCTTCTTGGCCCCTTCTCCTCATTGTTCGGTGGGTTCAGATTTTTTCACTCGCGCCGGCCGCCTTCGGCGGCCGACGCTCGACAGCGCGTCCTTCGGCCGCGCGTGAGGGGACGGCAAGGGAACACACACTTACGAGTGACTATAAGCAACGGCATACAAGCGATGGCATTCCCTAGGTCAGCCTAGACAAGCAAAGCGACCATGGGCAATCTGAGCCCGCATCTACATGCGGTGAGCTCCAAGGGCGTGAAGAACGCCCGTCAGGGAGCGCCACAGCTCCCGGACCACAAGCGTGCTTGCGCCGATCGCCGCGGCTCCAGAACCTGCGCGCAAGTGCCGCCTCAGGCCCCGGACAGCCTCGTCAAGCTGTCCTGCAGCAGCAGCCCCACCCTCCGCGGGCGCAGCCAGCACGGGCGCCAGCAACGAAGCGAGCTCGTCCGCCGCGTCCAAGCACGTGTCACGCTGGCGGCCGTGGAAAGTCTCCGGAGGAATCACGGGAAGAGACGAATAAGCGAGAACTTGTATCAGCAGCAACGCATGGAAGCTCTCCGCGAGACGGTGGAGCTGGCCAAGAGTTGCCTCTGGAACACGCGTCTGCGGGGGCTGCAGCGCCTCCGTCAGAAATAGCAGCGGCTCATCAGCAGCAACGTGGTGGGAATGCTGAGCCGCAACGCCACCCCCCGCGGCAACAAACTCCACCCCCGCAACAGGCGGAACCGGTGGCAAATGCAGACGAGAGCCGGGAGCAGGCGCCGAGACAGAAGGAGATGGAGCCGACGGGGCAAGGACAGGAGGAGGAAATACAGCAGCCGGCGGAGGGGCCACAGGAGGCTCAGTCTGACGAGGAGCCACAGGCGCCGGCGCGGCCCGCAGCGAACTGCTCTGACTCTGCGCCGCCCTCTCCTCGCGCACGGCCCGCGACACCTCCCTCTGGAGATCCGCCATTGTCACAGGCGGACGATATCTCCCGCCACCACCATGCCCGTGGGGGCCCCTCCAGCCCCCATTGCCGCCAGGGTGAGCAGGCCACTGGGCCTGCTGCTGGTAGCGCCGGGGAGAGTTGCGCCGGCGCCGCGACGTCTCCCGCTCCTGTTGGGGAGCGGGGGAATGGGGGCGGGATTGACGGCGGTCCGGCGACGGGGGACGAGACGGCTGCACTACAGGGGCCGCCGGCAGCGGAGCGGGAGGCGCCGGGTCCGCGCCAGGAGGCGCAACCATCGGAGCCGGGTCGGCAGTGGTGGCGGACGCCGCCTTCGGGTATAAGCAGACTCCGGCGCAGGCACGTCGGGGACAGAAGCGGCTGGTGCAACGAGTGCGCCAAGGGCAGGAACAGTGCGAGCAGCAGCTTCCCCAGCAGGCGCAGATGCCACCGGCGCAACCACGGGAGCCAGGGGCACGGGAGCAGCAGGCGGAGCGGGCGGAGCTTCAACAGGAGCAGACGGGCCAGCCTCGACAACGCCAAGGGGAGCCGCGGGTGCGGGGGGAAGAGTCTTTTCAGCGTCTGCTCTCACGGGCTTCGGAACCGGCTGTAGAGGGGGCTTCGTCGGCATGGTCGCCATTTTGGGAGTAGACTGAGGCGTGGCGGTCACAGCCGACCAGGCGGCAGCGCGCTCTGGCGACGGCTCAGGAGCGCCGGCAATCACCATCTCAGGGACGAGGACGTCGCGGGCCTGGGGGGCAGGCAGTAAGCGGGACGGGCGGAGGACCGGAAAACGGGTATCAGGCAGAGGCTCGCAGGGCTTTAACCACTTTGGAGGCAACTAATGCAGAGGATGATTTGAGTGACCCCTCTTATAGGGAGGAGACACTCCCATCAAGTGAGGATGACGAGCAGGAGGAAGTGGGAGTTACGAGAGGGTCCGCTAGGAGAGGGACTGCTAGGAGAGGAACAGCGGTGTTAGCACCAAGGGTGGAAACACCACAAGGAGCCTCTGGTCCGTCGGATGCCGAACGGACGGGTGAGATTCCAACTTCGAACGAACCAGCCACAACGGGGCGCGCCAGACGAAATCGGACCGCCATGGGCGATGCCGCGACGCGTCCCTCAATGCCTCATCCCCGCTATTACTCAGCTGACGAGCTAGCAGAGCGGCCGGATTTGTTCGCTGCCATCGCGAACTTGGATGTCACGGCCCTGTGCGACAGTCGTCAGCCTACGCTGTCAAGGCGTTTACCGCCAAATCTGTGCCAGCTTTTCGCAGTCGCGATGCTGACACCGTTACTTCACCTGTCGCGACACCCCGAATCAGAGTCAGGATGGCGCCTGCTGCTGTTTCTCCCGCGTTTAACACTTCGTCAAACCTCGCCGCAGCGACCAGATTGGCATGGGGTCAAGGCTCGGCTCCGGGCCTTTCAACGTGGCGAATGGGAGCAGTTATATAGGCAGGCGGTTGACGCGGTCAACACACCACCTCCGCCCCGACACCAGCCCGACGCGACTGGGGTCATCAACCGTGCAGAAGGGTTGGCGAAACGTGGCAGTCTGCGACGGGCCGTGCTGGCCCTTGAGTCAACGCCTGTCTGCACTCCTGGCCCGGAAATTTTGGAGGAGTTGCGCCAAAAACACCCCCCCGCTGTACACGGGGCAGTGACCTGGCCTGAGCACCACGGGTCAAAGCTGTCAATCGCCCACCCCGATTTCGCAAAATTGTTGGGGCGGTGCGAAAACGGGGTGGGAGCCGGACCGTCAGGAATGACATTTGAGCATCTGCGTGACGCGGCGATTACCAACGCACTGGTCAGCACCCATTTGCACGCCTTGGTCAATACCATCCTCGGAGGAGACCTGCCAGGCTCGGTGGCGAATCTTTTAACGTCTTCGCGCCTCATTGCCTTGGCCAAGCCGGGTGGGGGGGCTCGACCAATCGCGATTGGGGGAAGTTTGACGCGGCTTGCAGCAAAAGCCGCTTTGGCTGCCATGGGGGACGCTGCACGGGAATTCTTCCTCCTGCTACAGTACGGGGTGGCAGTGCCAGGTGGCGCAGAAGCAGTGATCCACGCAGCCAGGGCCCATATGGACGCCCGCCCAAACAGCCTGGTCCTGCAGGCTGACATTTCGACCCCGTTCAACAGCATATCGCGAAACACGACCTCCGCGTTACACGACCCCGCTCTTTCGCCGCTGCTGCCCTTAGTCAAATTGACTTATGGTAACCCATCGCAACTACTTCTCGACACCAACTTCAACTCTGACCCGCTGAGCAGCGAACGGGGTGTACGCCAAGGCGACCCACTTGGCCTGCTCCTGTTCGCAGCAGGGATACACACCACCCTCCGTGAAACTGCTGAGACACATCCTGAAGTGCTCTGTTTGGCGTACGCCGACGACATCACGTTCTTGGGTGACACGGCGAGCACTGTAGCAGCCTTCACGTTCTTCACCGACAAGCTGGCACACCTGGGCCTGAGGCACAATCCCCAAAAGTGTGCGGCCTGGAGTGCAAATCCTGCCGAGCACGCTATCCTTCCACCAGGGGTACCTTTCTCAGGGGAAGGCGTGCGTCTCTTGGGAAGTTTCCTGGGACCTGACAGCGGCGCAGCTAAATTCCTGGCGGACCAACTCAATGAGATGGCAAGGCCCCTATCACTTATCGAGCGTGCGGATCCGCAGGTCGCCGCTCTCCTCATCACACGCTATATCTCGAGGCGGGTCGCTTACCTTATTAGGACGACGCCGCTACACCTGTTGCCCCGCGAACGTTGGAGCCAGTGGGGAAAAGACCTCCTCATCGCTCTGCTTACTTCATGTGACATACGTGTCCCCACGTGTAGGGCCGAGCAAGCGCGCGTCTGGGACCAGGCTTCGCTTCCGCCGTCGCTCAGAGGAATAGGCATAACTGACCCCCTAGTCGAAGGGGTATACGGATTCACAGCAAGCTGCACACAGGCAGCTTTCTTTCTGTCCACCCTCGAGCTGGGACCCGAGAATGCCTTGGCGCAGGCACGGCTTCACATGCTACTGCCGCGAGATGACGGCACGCCACTGCATACATGGCTTGCGGAGTGCGAGGCGGCGCTGCCTCTAGACGCTCAGGAATTGCTGGAGAAGGAGCGGCTCAAACGGTCTGATATAAGGCTCCAGCATGTACTTGGCCTCAAGGTTCACGGGAGCAGATATGCAGTGCAGGTTCAAGCGACACGGCGCATGAAGCTGAATCCGCTCTCGGGCCACACGCAGCGGATGTTCTCCCTTACAGGTTACAGCACGGGCGACTGGCTCACAGCAATCCCCATCGCGCCAACGTAGCGCATCGGGCCAGTACACTTCGCCAACGCCGTGCGGTTCCGCCTGGCCCTGCCGTTCTCAACGCCGAAGAAGTGTGACTGCGCCGACCACATTGCTATCACCGACCCACGCCTCCCGAACCATCTCCTTCGCTGCGGCACGGGCAAGCACCGCATCAACACCCACAACGAGCTGCGGGACGCCTGCATTAGCATGGCGCAGGATGCTGGGTTCATTGTCCATCGGGAGTCGGCCGTTCACAGCCCCATCGAAGAGCAAACGGCCGACTTCACCATGACGGATAGAAGCAGTGGGGCGGTCTACATCTGCGACGTCACCGTCACAGACCCCATCAGCACCCGGGATCCTGAGGCTCAAAAAGGCAGGGGGTGGGCGGCACGAGAGCAAGCAGATAAGAAGATCAAGCACTACGCCAACCGCCCAGAGACGGTTGGCTTCTTCCCACTGGCGGTAGACACCTACGGCTGCCCATGCGCCGAGGTGCTCGTGTTCCTGAAGCTTCTTGCAGACACAGCGGCTCGGCGCCACTTCAACGCCGACTCAAAATCCTACTATGCCGCCAAGTTTCTGCATCAGTTTCGACAAAGATGGTCAGTGGCCCTTCAAAGAGCCCAATCCGTGGGCCTCCTTATCAAGTTGGGTGAGGCAGCTGCAGCTGAGAACCCGCCTATGGGCAGTATTGGGCAGGAGTTGAACCTAGGAGATTGCTTTGCAGGGATAGAGCCCCTCCTGGAACTTTAGAGGGGGTATAGGATAGGAACTGCCTTTGTGGTTTGTTACCCTTGCTTCTATACCTTGCATGCTTGTACCTGGCTGCCATATCAATACAAGGACCATTAGAGAGAGAGAGAGAGAGAGAGAGAGAGAGAGAGAGAGAGAGAGAGAGAGAGAGAGAGAGAGAGAGAGAGCAGGCTTAGTCCTTAGTCTCTACTTCCTCTCTAGTCTAGTTAGCCTTAGCATAGCATAGTCCCGAGGCTTCCTTAGCCTCTATTCCTTAGTGTAGCCCACCCAGCTGTCCTGTAAGCAGTACAATGCCCCTATTTAGCCTCCCTCATTCCTTCAAACCACCCATTATTCTCTGGTGAGTGTGGATCGTCCCAACCCAGCGATGGGGAGGAAAAAACAAGCAGCAAGGGCGGCTGCAAGTGCAAAGCCTACATCCGCTCCACCCGCCGCCCGAGCCACCGGAGCACACACGCGATCGCAGGGACGATGCCGAGAGGGCACTCCTCAACAGCCGTGGCTACCATGCGGAAAGCTGCAGCGCCAGGTCCGTCGTCCAGCGAAGGATCCTCAGGTTCAAGCGGCAAACGAAGAATGTCCCACAGCGCACTCGACACCGCGCAGCGGGCCCGGCCACGCTGGCCTTCGGCCAGTTGCGGATCCCGTGCCACAACCTCATGTGACTCAAAGGCGTCGTGCAGGAGGTCAAGCACAAAGGACAGCTCCGTCACACAGCGACCAGCATCAGACAACCGCATGCCCCGGGCTTGGTACGCCCCATCGCCAGGCCGAGGCTCCCCCCAAGGAGCGTCCGGGGGAGGAGTGCCCCAGTCCCCGTCCGCCCCTCTCTGCTCTTGGGGCCACGACACCGCCCACCAATCAACGTCCGGGTCACGAGGCGTGCCCGGCACCTCGTCATCGTTCCAGTAGCCTCGCGAGAGACCAGGCACCGGCTGATGCTGCGGGACCAGGAAGGGGGGGGAACGACAAGGGGAGGAGGAATGGCAACAACGAGGGAGTGAGCGGGATCAAAGAGAAAACGGCGCGCGTGAAGGAAAAGGGACACGGGACACGAGGCCACTCACAAATCCAAAACGCGCCCTAGGGAGGCGAGACTGGGCCACAAGAGGGTGCTGGCGACGGGGCTGACACGGGTGAGCTGCCGGAGGCCGCCAGCGAGGGGCTGGCAGAGCCGGTTCAGTCGCATCCAACCGAGGCGGGTACGAATGGGCAAACGGAGGAATCGGAGGCGCCGCCGACGGGAGTGGGGCAGGGGGGGCATCCGGCTGAGGCAGGGGCGACGGCGAGTCCGACGCCGAGACCGACTGTGGCACGGCTGCGCGAGCATCAGCAGACGACAGAGGAGCGGGATGCACCGGGGGAGGCGTAGGAACAGGGGGCTGAGACTGCGGAGATGGCGTCGACCCCAGCGCCAACGGCGTCGTACGCGAGGGCAGGACTGGAGGCGCGGATTGCGCCGGCACAGGTGGCGGAGCCTGAAGAGAGGACGCAGACTCGTCAGGCGTCAGAGGAAGCTGCAACGGCTGGGATTGTGCCGGGGATGCGTGGAGCGGGGGCCGAACACGGGCCTGGCCAGACGGCGGCGGGCGTGGCGGAAAGACTGCCCTCGCGCGCATAGATACGGGTGGGTGTGCCCACGGGGAGAGCGATACACCGGCTGCCTCGACCGCGCAGGAGGGACCGGCGGCACAGGTGGGGCGCTGCCAACGCACATAGATAAGCAGTCCGCGACGGCTCGGAACAGGGCTGGCACCTGCCTGCCCGGGGCCGCTGGTGGGGTGGGCGCAGCAGGAGATCCCGCCGCCACTATCACATCGCGCCGAGGCGGATGACGGCGGCACGTCATCAGGGATCAGACAAGAGGCCGTGAGGCCCCACGGAGCAACCGCTGGTACAGGGACTGCGGTGGAAGACGCTGCGGTAGCGGAGGAGGAGGAACAGGTTGCCGCGATTGACCGGCGTTGAGTGGGAACGGCGCGGCAGAGGCTGCTACGGGAACGCGCGGCTGAGGCAGCGGCGGGAAACCCGCCTGCTAGAGCGCGGGAAGGAGAACAGGCCGCGTCGAGGGGACGCGGCGGGCGAGGCGCGCGCGGAAGGGGAGGACGAGGGGGCCTAGTGGCGGCCGTGGCAAGGGAAAAAGCTAGATCTGGAACGTGGCGGGAGAGGCACGGGAGGCCGGAACGACATCAGGGAGAAGAGCCAATGAATGAAGAGGACGATGATGGGGATGACGACTATATGGAAGAGGAATGTGGAGACTTGGAAGATGTGTCTCTTGACAGTGAGCAAGGTATCCCGGCAAATGAGGCAAATTGAGGGGCACGGAGGGAGGGAAACGGAACCAACGCCAACGAGGGCGAGTCACGTGGAGCCCAAGCCAACGAGGCCGCCAGCAAAGCAAGATCGCTAGCTGACATCACCGCTGACTCGGATGCATGGCGCCATGTGGAGGGGTGGGACGTGGGACCACTGTGTTGCAGTGCACAGCCCTTCCTGTTCCGGAAGCTTCCGCCAAAGATCCTGATGGCATACGCCTATTGCATGATGATCCCCCTGCTTCGCCTCACGAAAGTTCCGGACTGCGCTGGCGCGTGGCGAATCCTCCAATTCCTACCGAGGCTAACCCTGCGAGCAGAAACCGAGAAGGTGCAAGGAAACTGCTGGACGGTGGTCGAGAAGCGACTACAGCAATTCCAGGAGGAGGAATGGGAGCTCCTTTTCTCGGAAGTCAGCATCATACTGCCGAACCCACAACCAAGCAGACACCAACCCGACCCCAAAGGGATGTGTGCCAGGGCGGAGGGCCTGGTACGGAAGGCGAACTTGGCAAAAGCATTGTCAGCGTTACAATCGGCCCCGCTCGCCGAGCAAACCCCCGCGACACTCGCGACACTTCGCGCCAAGCATCCGCTGGCAGGACAACCGACACCTGGATGGGTTACCTGATACGAATCGTTGGACCTGGCAATCACAACCGACGAATTCCGCGACTATTTAGCTTAGTGCCCAAACGGGATAGGTACTGGGCCGTCGGGGACCTGCTTTGAACATCTGCGTGACCCCGCGCTGGTGAACGGGGAGGTCTTCCTGCTGCTGCATACAGTTATCAACACGCTACTCATCACTCACCTAACCAAGCCGCTAAGGGACCTACTGCTACCATCACGGCTGATAGCCTTAGAGAAACGGGAGGAGGCGTCAGACCGATAGCAATAGGCGAGGCAATCGTTAGGATTGCAGCAAAGGCAGCGTTACGAAAGCTCTCGGCTGACATCCGTCGCTTTTTTCTCCCAGTCCAGTATGGCGTGGTGGTAGCAGGTGGGGCGGAGACCATAATACATACTACACGAGCCATGCTAGACGAGGACCCAACGCGGATTGCAGTTCAACTGGACATCGAGAATGCTTTCAATTCGGTGGAACGAGAGTGTTTCTTCTCGTCGCTCAAGTGGATGGCACTCGAGCCACTGCTTCCGCTGGTTCGCTCTCTGTACGGCGAGCCGACACGCCTCCTCCTGGACCCGGGCTTCGACGAACAACACATCGTGAGCGCCAGAGGGGTCCGGCAGGGAGACCCCCTGGGGCCCATGCTATTCGCGGCGGCAATCCAGCCAACCCTCCTGAAAGCAGCAGCTATGTGCCCTTCGGTGGCAGTGATGGCGTACGCTGACGACATCACGATCATCGGCGCTCCGACACAAGCGATAAAGAGCGTGAACATCATCACGGATGAGCTGCGCAAGTGTGGACTGAGGTGCAACATGGGTAAATCATCCGTGTGGTGCCCGGCCGGCTGCTCAGACGACCTCCTGGAAGGACTGGTGGCGGCGATCGACGGCATCCGTGTGCTCGGAAGTCCGGTGGGGACAAGGGAGTATGGGCGGAGGCTCATACGAACGGCTCTCAACACAGCAGCGGCGCCGCTCTCGCTCATCGGTAGAATGCACCCGCAACACGTGCTACTGCTGCTCTCAAGATGCATGTCACGGCGCATCTCCTACCTGCTCAGAACGACCCCGGCTGACACACTGCCACTGGTGGAATGGCGGGACTGGAATGAAGATCTGCTCTGGACCGCGCTCAAGGCGGCAAAGATGGAGGCACCGGCTAGTGAATGGAGCAGAGCCTCGTGTGGCGCCAGTCGACACTACCGGTCTGCTTAGGTGGGCTAGGGCTCATAGACCCACTCCCGGAGGCCCCGGCGGCATATCTTGCCTCGCTGCATGCGGCCAACACACTCCTGCGACAAACGGTGATGGAGCCCGACAACCCTCTACAACACGTGGCGGACCTGCTATCGCCCATGAGGGAGGATGGGACGGAGGGGGGAGGAGGGGCGACGCTCCATGATCTCAGGAGCCGACTCCCGGAGCAGGCCCGCGAGATCCTGAAGACGCACCACCAGAAGGGGGAAGGGAAAGGGCACCTGCAGCTACTCCTATCGAGGTATATCAACCAGGATAGAGCTGCGGAGCTGGTAGGCGACACCAGGGCAGACAAGCCAGGGGTAGACAACGGACACGTGATCCGACTAATAGCACTGCAAGGGGTGGGGGCCGGAGATTGGCTTCATGCGGTCCCCACAAGGGGTGACTTGACCTTCTCACCCGGACAGCTTGCAGTGGCGCTCGGTTTCCGCCTGGGGCTGCCCCTGTCGGTGACAGAGAGGTGCCCCTGCAAAGGGAAGCGGTCGGCCATACGGGATAGGAGCCTGCCGAACCACTTGCTGCGGTGTGCTGATGGGGGGGACCGCACGAACACCCACAACTCACTGGCGTATGCGGCGCTGCGGATGGCCAGGGAAGCAGGTTACACTGCCTTGCACGAGACGACAATCCTCTCGCCTATAACTAACCAAAAGCGAGCGGACATTGTCATCCGTGACACGGAGTCGAATGAGACCTACGTGACAGATGTCACGGTCACGGACCCGGTCCTGCAGCGGCGAGACAAGCGAGCGGTGAAGCCGCCGGGGTGGGCGGCGGAGGATGCGGCAAGGGTGAAGCGGGGACTGTATGATGGGCGGCTTGGCTTTGTAGGGGTGTTCGGCCTGGCGGTGGAAACCTATGGGGCCTTGGCCAAGGACACCCAGCGGTTCCTCCGCCTCCTAGGCACGCAAGCAGCAAAGACGAAGCACAGACAGGGGCGGCTGACGGCCGTAGCCTCTAAGTTCACAGCGCACTACCAAAAGCGATGGTCGGTAATGCTCCAGCGCTGCCAAGCAAATGCCCTGATGGCCAAATCCAACAGGGCACTCGAGGCAGCGCACCCACAGGCAGCGGCTGACCCGTGGGAGCCTAGCCTCGGGGACCTGTGGCAGGTCCTCGAGGATGACCTGGCCCAGCTACTCGACTTGGGGGCCCGCCCAAACACAGAGGGCTCCCCTGTACTGTGCAGGACAGGAGGGGATTGAGGCGCCCTGCAGGAGGACGAGCGGGCCAGAAATGATGTTACAGTAGGGGCAGGTGTGGTGGCTAAGCAGCCAAGCATGGCAAGCCGGCCCAACATAGGCCCAGATTGTGATTCTGCTCATTATAAACTTGCATGCATAGGCCAATATGCTTGTTAGGACTGCCGTTGCCCTACATGTACCCTATACACACATCAATGCAGGACTGCTTGAGAGAGAGAGAGAGAGAGAGAGAGAGAGAGAGAGAGAGAGAGAGAGAGAGACCATTTGAGAGAGGATCCTAGCCTCTGCCCTCTCCCTTTGCCCTCTGCCCTCTCCTCTGTGAGCTACTTAAGAGGCCTTCCTGGCCTCATCTCCTCATTGTTGGGTGGGTTCAGATTTTTTCGCTCGTGCCGGCCAACGTGCCGCGCCGAGCAAACGCGTGTGTGGGAGCAGGCGTCGCTGCCCACATCGCTGGGTGGCATCGGCATTACAGACCCGCTCGTTGAAGGGATCTACGGTTTCACAGCGAGTTTCACTCAAGCGGCGCTGTTCTTGTCCTCCCTGGCGCTAGCACTGGAGAATGCTTTGACGATCGCTCAGAACCGCTGGCGTTGCTGACACCGTTACTACACCTCTCGCGAAACTCGGAGTCAGAGACAGGTTGGCGTCTGCTGTTGTTTCTCCCGCGCCTGACTCTCCGCCAAACCTCACCGCAACGACCAGACTGGCCGAAAATCAAAGCCCGGCTCCGAGCCTTCCAGCGTGGCGAATGGGAGCAATTGTACCTGGACGCAGTGGACGCAGTCAACACGCCACCACCGCCACGACACCAGCCAGATGCGACCGGGGTGATCAACCGAGCTGCGAAACGTGGCAGCCTGCGACGAGCCGTCCTCGCCCTGGAGTCAACGCCCGTCTGCACTCCCAGCCCCGAAATCCTGGAAGAGCTGCGCCAAAAACACCCCCCGGCTGCGCACGAGGAAGTGCCTTGGCCCACGGCGCAGGAGTCAACACTTTCAATCGCCCACGCGGACTTTGCCAAAATGTTGGGCAGATGCGAGAATGGAGTTGGAGCCGTGCCTTCGGGGATGACTTTTGAGCATCTGCGCAACGTGGCCATCACCAACGCACTGGTCAGCACCCATCTGCACGCCTTGGTCAACACCATTCTGGGTGGAAATTTGCCAGACTCGGTGGCGAACCTCCTCACCGCGTCACGTCTCATCGCCTTGGCCAAACCTGGGGGAGGTGCCCGGCCAATCGCAATCGACGAATGCCTTACGAGGCTGGCTGCCAAGGCAGCCCTGTCAACCATGGGAGAAGGTGCGCGTGAACTTTTCCTGCCACTACAGTACGGCGTGGCAGTGCCAGGTGGATCCGAGGCAGTCATCCATGCGGCTAGAGCCTTCCTGGACGCCCGCCCCACCAGCCTGGTTCTGCAAGCGGGCATCTCGAACGCGTTCAACAGCATTTCGCGAACAGCCATTGCCACTGCGTTACAAGCCCCCGCCCTCTCGCCACTACTCCAACTAGTGAAACTAACCTACGGTAACCCGTCGCAGTTGCTCCTGGATGTCAATTTCAACACCGACCCACTGCGAAGTGAACGCGGAGTCCGCCAGGGAGACCCACTAGGCCCGTTAGTGTTCGTGGCAAGGATACATGCCACACTTAGTGAAACCGCAGACGCTCACCCCGACGTGCTCTGTTTGGCGTATGCGGACGACGTGACTTTTCTGGGTGACGCGGGGCACACTGTAGCAGCTTTCACTCACTTCACGACCAAGTTGGCACACTTGAGCCTCAAGCACAACCCTCAGAAATGTGCTGCATGGAGTTTGAGTGCGCCGAAGACAGCCACCCTCCCTCCAGGAATTCCATTCTCAAAGGACGGCATACGGCTACTAGGAAGTTTCGTCGGGCCTCGACATTCCTAGCAAAGCAGCTCGAAGAGATGGCGAAGCCGCTGACACTTCTAGAACGGGCGGATCCGCAGGTGGCGTCACTGCTCATTGTCAAACTTATATGCTATAGTCTATCTAGGCTGTAGTGGGGTAGACACTAAGGGGTATGGTTTCCTAGGGTTTCATACTTGTACCCTTCACATTCCTTAGTCAATCATTCCTCATTCTTCACATGGTATAGAGCGGGTTCCCTAGTGGGACCGTTTCTTCCAAGGGCCCACCTTCGAAAGTTTTTTTTAGCCTGCCCTAAATGCGCTTCGCGTCCTGCCCGAAAATTTTGCGCCCCCTTAGTGGCCTGCCCCTTAACGGCCCCTTTGTGGCCCCTTCGCGGCCCCCTTAGTGGCCCCCCTTTCGCGGCCCCTTAGCGGCCCCTTCGCTGCCCCTTAGCGGCCCCCCTTCGCGGCCCCTTCGCTGCCCCTTAGCGGCCCCCCTTTGCGGCCCCTTCGCGGCCCATTCGCGGCTCCTTCACGGCCCCTTAGTGGCCCCTTCGTGGCCCCTTCGCTGCCCCTTCGCGGCCCCTTAGCGGCCCCTTCGTGGCCCCTTCGCGGCCCCTTCGCGGCCCCGCCCCGTCACCAGTCGCGGCCCCGCCCCGTCGCCACCCGGGTGTCCCCCCTCCCTCGTCGCGACGCCTCCTCAGGACCCGCGCGTCGCCCCCGCCTCGTCGCGACGCCCCTGCGGGACCCGCGAGGCACGACTCCTGCGCGTCGCGACGCTCTTACGGGACCCGGGCGTCGCCCCCACTCGTCGCGACGCCCCTGCGGGACCCACGCGGCGTCATCCCTGCCCGACGCGGCGCCCTGCCCTAACCCGCGCCCCTGCAGCAGCCGCCCCTGCTGCAGCCGCCCCTGGTCTCTGGAGCAGCCGCCCCTGCAGCAGCCGCCCCTGGTCCCTGGAGGAGCCGCCCCTGCAGCTGCCGCCACTGGCGGCCACTGGAGCAGCCACCCCTGCAGCAGCCGCCCCTGGCCCCTGGGGCAGCCGCCCCTGCAGCAGCCGCCCCTGGCCCCTGCAGCAGCCGCCCCTGCTGCAGCCGCCCCTGGCCCCTGGAGCAGCCGCCCCTGCAGCAGCCGCCCCTGGCCCCTGGAGCAGCCGCCCCTGCAGCAGCCGCCCCTGGCCCCTGGAGCAGCCGCCCCTGCAGCAGCCGCCCCTGGCCCCTGGAGCAGCCGCCCCTGCAGCAGCCGCCCCTGGCCCCTGGAGCAGCTGCCCCTGGAGCAGCCGCCCCCTGTAGCTGCCGCGGAGCCCTCGCCCTGCAGTGGTGCCGGCCTCGCCATTGCCGCCATCGTACGCCTGCCCTTCTTGCCACTGGTGAGCACTGTCCTGCCCGTACTGCTG